GGCGTGCCAGTCGAGCACGTTACCACTAGGACAACGTGTTTATTTAAAATTTTAAATTCATTAGTGGTATATATTCAATACATTGAATAATTTTTTCCATTGAAATTTTACAAGATGTGGTTTCCCCCTTCCGTACGTGCTACAGTCGGCTCAATTTCAGTTAAACAAATGAAAAACAAAAAGCATTCGTACAGCAGAAAATAAAATTCACCCCGTCGACTTGATGGACACCCCAGCATTGTGGCGCCCTCCCTCTTTTTGGGTGAAGTACTACAATGCCGGTGGAGGCACTCAACCCTCAGAACTGAGCCTCCACTTTAGTCAATCCTCTTTGGATCCAACGATTCCAACTACTTCCAGCCATGCCTGAAGACGAAATAACAATTCTGCAAGGTGCTAAAACTCAGCTCTCGAAGATAATGGAGAGCTTGAATAAATCCCATCGGGAACATTTGCTCTCCTTCGCAATTCAGGAGTGGATGACAATGAAAATTGGAGTCGATTCCGGTAAATTCTCACATCTGCCTATTCAAACTAGAATCATGCTCACAGAAAATGTATTAAATTTTATTCAATAATAATATTATTAATTTGAGTCGTGTTCTTTTGATGGATAAACAAATTTTCCTCACAGATGACGAATCAAATGACGAGGACGAGCACGTCCTTGACGATCCTGCGGCAAAGCTGAGAAAAATTGTCGAGGAAATCCGTGATAAAATCCCTCTCAATGCCATCCTCCCCTCGGAGAACATACAACTCCCAACAAAAGGACCTGTAGGATTTTTAAATATTGAAATATTTAAATATTCAATAATTTAAATATTTAATATTGCAATATTAAATATCTAATTTCAGAATGATGATTGCGATCCCAAAATTACGGTACACGTCGACGGTTTTCTCTACGAGGACGATGACATCGAGGATCTGGTGAAGGAAGGAAAAATGTCCAGGAATTATTGCAAAGACTGCGGCTCTAAAAACACTAGTCCTCTCAGTAAGAATTCTCATTATTCCCTCTTCTTTTCCCCTTTGTCTGCATTATTCATCTTACATCTTAAAAAATGATAATATAAAAATTTTAATTCGAAATGGATTTTTAATTTGAACTCGTTAATTCCTTTTGCAGTATTTATTTCTCACTCAGCCTCTCGAGACGAGTTGTACCTCATATTCAACACCCTTCTGCCCACCCTGGATGGAAAAATTCTTCTCGATGTTGGCTCACGACTGGGCGCAGTATTATACGGCGTGAGTAAATTGTCTCCTCGATTCTCCCTTCAAATAAATCCCATTCGAAAATTCAATGAGCACAAACGTTTTATTTATTATTATTCCCACCAGGCATACGTTTATTCTGACGCAGAGAAGATAATCGGTGTGGAAATGAACAAGGACTTGTGCGATCTGCAGAACGAGGTCATTCGTAAACACAAGATGGATAAACGAATTGAGATTATTAATAAACGAATAGAAGACACTGGGGATCTGGTGCGAGTGGCTGACGTTGTCGTCCTCAACAATGTCTTTGAGTTTTATTTGTCTGAGGAAGAGCAGACGAGTGTCTGGAAATTCTTGAGGGACAATATCAAAAAAGGGGCCTTCATCGTCTCACGACCTTCAATATCTTCATCTCTATCAAGTTTAAATACTGGAATTGACGTGGACCAGTGGATAAAGCCTGTGGACTCTGAAATTGATCAGCCAGTCAATTATTTCGCAGAGGAAACCGAAAGGGTTGACGATTCAATGAAAATATTCTGCTACAATGTTTTGTAAATATTCCAGAATAAATTTATTATTTTTTCAACATCAAATATTTATCGAGGATGAGTAGAAATAACGGAAGAACATCGCAAATCTATCGAGCGAAAACCTTGAAAAATGCCTTCACCGTATTTTCCTCTCTTCGCCATCTGCCAAAAATCAAATCAAATCAATCACGACTCGTCTATTTCCAAAAGAAGAAAAATCAGAAAATAATCAGGTATTCATATTTAAATTATCATATTCAAAATAATCAATTAGAATATCAAGAAGAACAAATGAAACAAGTGAGTAATCAATGGAGTCAACTCTCGACCCAAAAGATCTAAAAAAAGTCAATCTAAAAACCCGACGATCTCTCAGTATTCTGCAAAAACGCTCCATAAATACTCCAAAGTGAATGAATTTTCCTCAAGTCCAAACCAACAAAAGTGTTTGCCTCTGGGTGGCACGTTAAATCACCTCACGACTGCATAATATTTGTGATCATAGGCCAAACTCAGCTGAGTACAGTCTCAAATGATTACCATTCATCGAAATGATATTCAGTTACCTTTCAAGTGATCTCAAGTGATTATTACTGCGGCCTGGGGGGGATATTGATGAATTTGTTGAGCTAGTCTTCCCTCTCTCAATATTAATACTTGCACCGCAGACGGGTGTCTAAAGTGGTCAAGTTCAAATCTCGAGTTCAGTTGACCGACGTCCGTGATACCGTGATAATCTTGGATAATCTTCGATAATTTTCGATAATTTTTGATAAGTCTATTTGAAAAATACCAGGAATTAATGAGTGATTCGTTCGTTTAAATGATCCGGTGAATTTAATCGCCAGACGAAATTTTTGAGGGATAGATCATCATCAGGTGGATCACTTTATTCTCTCAGGTATTGTTGCATTATTATTTTTACCATTAGTATTCAAATCATAAGGAACTTGTTCATTGATAACGTGTATTATCGCTGTGGTGAGGTGAGTGGGAAAAACAACACGAAAGGACTTCATTGTTCCCATCAGTGCAATTATTCCTACACGATAAATACTAGTCTATCAATGGTGGAAGTTATACATTTATGATAACATTCAATCATACTTATCTGGAACGTTAAAAAATACACCAGTGCTTGAGTGGCCTTGGGGGTGACATTGACCTGTTTCCATTTTAAAACAATGTCCTCAGTTGTCTTCCTTACTGGGTCTACGCGTTTTTTTGGAGAATAGCGAATAAACCAATTGCTTGCATTCCTTCTTCCATTTTTTTTTTTCACTACTAGCTAGTCGAGTGATCGAGTTTTCGAAAGTTGTGGATTATTCGGACGAGTGACCCAGTTAAATCGAAATGAACGCTTCTCCATTGATAAAACAGCGAATGTGACAGAATTAAATTATAATTTAATTAAGAAATCTCAATTCTGAAGTTTATGGAATTTTTTTTTAAATATCCCGGAATTGGAAATTCATGATTATTTTATTTTACCATTGTATATATTTAAAAAATTCATGACCTTTTCACTCCTGTGATATTTGAATAATTTGGGAATAACTTTTCGGCTTAACTTTTACTTGAAATAATTCCTCAGCTTTCTTCCCTTTAAAAATCAGGATTATCCTTAAATCTTCATAGAAACTTCAAGTTTCGGTAATTCTACCCCTCGAATTAAATCCGGTGTAATTCTCCCGCGAATCCATTAATTTTCTCACCCAAGAAAAAATCTACTCCATTTCCTAGACGATTTGAATCTCTCGCGGTAAAAATTCTCTCCACAAATCAATTTTAAAACTCGTAAATTCAACATTTCCCGGATTGTTTTTCATTCACGGAAAAACGTACTTATTTAATTACCAGGAGGTGATAAAGAACAGTAATGTTTCCGGCAACTGAACCGTTGCACAATGGAAAAGATGTATCGGCGATTGCACAATAGCCTTACGAACTTCCTCAATTATTTTAAAACAATAGAATTAAATAAAAAGTAAATGAAGAAGGTAACTAAAGAAAATGGTAAATTACAAAATCAGCGCGTGGATGAGAAACCGATCGGAGCTTGAGCATTCAATTTTTTGAATTTTTCTCCAAAAAAATTCCAAAGAAAAAAAAGCGAGAGACAAAAATTCGAGTATAGAATAGCATGTGGTGCATGCCAGTTGCTTTTGCACGACAGAATGACACGATAGGAGAAATAGTAGTCACGTAATTAATACTTATCTGGCATTGCGGTTTGGTATTGTGAGACACGCGTAATTCATATATTTTTTTTTCTCCGCTCGGTATTTTATTTATTATTGAATTTCTGGGACGATTGACGTTGGGAGCTTCTAACAAATTGTACAAACACTTTTTCCAGTTTGGAGTAGCATGAGAATAGCCTCTTCAGAGTCAAAAAGTACCGCAAGAAGGTAATTTATAACATTCTATTCAAACATCGTTTTTCAGCAATATTTAACGGGCAGATAGCGTTTTATTTAATAAGTTGATGTGTGCCAAGCTTGTTCACAAGGTCTTTGAGTAAAAACGACCTGGAAGAGGTTCAATGCAACCGGTGACACCAACATCAATATTTTTTATTCTAGTATCTTTCAGTGTGGCTATTTTTTCAGAACGATAAACCTTGATAACGTATGAGCACTCTGTACCCTTGTCGTGTGTTTTAGATGCATCTGGAGAGTTTTAATGACAAATCGTTGCATCTGCTGTTGAACAGATTATGTTTCAAGTGCTGGCAAAGATTTATTCAATTTCAAGGTTTTTTAGGGCTTTTTTTTCTGCAGTGAAGGACTGCATTCAGAATTTTCGGTTGTCGATATAATAATATATTACAGATTATGATGAGATCATGAAATGCTGAATTGAAGAATAGAAAATCGAAAATTTCGAGTTATCGCGAGTGGAAATTGCAGAGAATTATGAAAAATCTGAGAGAATATTGGGAAGACGTCTGTTTATCCAGAGTTGTAGGAATAAATCGAGAGCGATTTGATGATGATGACTCATTTAGCGTGGAATACCTCATATGTACCTCCAGCAATAATTAATTAACGATTCCATCTAGGAATACTCGTACTGACCGTAATTAATCCTTGAATCAAGAAATTCTAATTTGCTTTTGACATTTATTGTGATTAACGCAAACAATTGCACACTCCATAATTTTTTACGAATAAATATTTCGACGAAAGTTAATTGTACTGGAGAAAAATCCTTTTTCCCACAGAGAAAAAATTAATTACGACATAAATACGTAATTTTTATTAATTATTTCTGAACGTGCAGTGATTTTTTCTGGAATTAAAAAAATATTGGAATAATTTCAACATTTATTTGGGACCATCGGTTTTTTTTTTCGAAATATTGTAATTCTAAGGCTGTAATGATTATTAATAAATGTGAGAACGCGTCATGCGAGGATCCATTCGAATTGATTTATTTATTTATTGTTGCTGAAGAGTGATACAATAATTTGCGTCTCATGTGTGATCAAGTGATTACTCGATCACATCTGCGTCAACTTTTTCAAAATATTACGATTCTAAAGCTGTAAAAATTATTGATGAACACATCTGGATGCGCACTTCGTTTTATTTATTTACTATTGCCACAAGGAAATACGATCACTTGCATTTCAATTTTATTTGCATTCGTTTATTAGTGGACAGAATAAACAGTAAATTCGAAGGATCCAAGTGCCTGAAATATTTTATATTTCTAATAATCCCATCAATAAATATATCAACTCAAAAAAATACTTCTGACAGTTTCTAATCATTTGAATTATCAATTACAATTCCAGTACTCAATTAATATTAACAGAATGAATAATTGAAGAAATAAATCTTCGAATTGGTGATACGAATGTATCGATTGGAATATAAAGTAAAAGAGAATTTCGTTGTGCTCTGATTTGGGTGGTGAGTGAAAATAAATTTGAGTAATTGGAGCCTTCACTCTGGTCCATTGGGTCACAGCTTTTTTAAGATTTTCCAAAATGTGATGGCTGCAATAATTATAAATAAACCCGCCAACACTGGCGAGTGCCTTTCCTCATGGATATCTCGCGAGGTGCATCCAAACTCCCATCCTACTTATTTAACATTCCGCGAATGCACGAGAGTGCAAGACACCTAGAATAACTGTAATGTTGTTTACATTGTCGAATGCACCTACAAGAACCTTCTAAACAGAATAAATTATTGCACCTGCGTGAAACATGCAAAAAAATTATTAAAACAATTATTTACTCTGAACGCTCAACAAGTGGACATTGAAATTTTACTAGAATTACTGGAATTCCTGGTTTTTTTTTCGCGATTATCGAAATCAATGCTAGATTTTTTAATTATCGATTATTGATTTTTCAAATTTAATGGAATGCGCAATTGATTAATAATTGATTAGACCAGAGGTATCGCTATTTTCTGATTAAATAAAATCGTTCAAGTTTCCCCAATCAATAACTCCCGAGAACACATACCATAATTAGTATTCATGGAAATGAGTCGACGTCAAGGATGACTGTCATCGAAACTTGTATTCGCACATTCTAGGATCGATTTTGCTAATCTTGTCACTCGTCGCTATCGCTCTCACCATTTTCACCTTTTCATCTATAAAATTCAATATCATTTCGGGATTTTAGAAATCAAGACAGTGAAAATTGCTATTTTAATTGACGACTACTGTCCATTAATATCAATAATTCTAGACAAATCAAACCAATCTTTTAAGATAATAATCCTATTAATTCCCTGTTCTTTTTGAGGCTTAAGAAAATTTTTGAAACTCAAAGAGAAATGACTCTTGATTAAACTTGTTACAATTTAACGAGATAATAGGATCCAGCATCGTAAATACCCATGAATAAGTCTACGGATTGATACGTGAAACGTCGGGTCTGGTTACCCAGAGGCACCATCATTCAATCGAAACTTTCTTGTTTCTTCGGTCTCCCTCTGACGCAAATGGTGACGTCAATCGCTAGGTGGCAAGAAGTTACAAGAGTGGCTCCTTCGCGATACGGCTTTTTCGCAAAAGCCACAGGGCATATACCACTTGCAGATAAGATTTGACTGGATGCCCCTAATTTCTCGATAATTCCCATGAGAAAAGAAAATTACTCCCCCAGGATCCAAGGATTCTCTCAGCGACAAATTGAAATTCATGTATCGTCCATCTCTCGCAGTGGAAGTGAGAAAATCGGTCTTGCAATTTCAGGGAAAAAGGGAAAAATTTTTTGCAACTCGACATTTCTGAGAAATTTAATTAATTGATGTTTTTTTAATGGAAAATCTAATAGTTTCCTTTACGATTCGATGAACTTTTGGTTTTTTAGGGATATCTCCGATATTAAGGGAGATATTGAAATTTTTGTTAGCAACTTTTTTGGAGCTCTCGGTGAGATTCTCAAAAAAGTTTATAACAAAAATTTTGATATGTGTTTTAGTTTTGGAGATATCTCTAAGGAATTAGGTGAAGTTACTTTCTCTTACCGGTTTTCTACTGAATTCTAATTTTCAGGTTCACACAACGGCAAAAAGTCAGGAATATAGTAATGTAGGTCATTTTTCTTGCATTGTGAAACCATTGCAACTCTACATAAATTTATTGCTCAATTCTCATGAGCGAATTTAAAATCCGATCGCTCACCGTAAAAATCCTGAATTTTATGGAATTCTCATGATGAATGGAAACGATGAATTGGAAATTTATTTACAATTCATTATGTGCCTTAATTTTTTTTCTTTCCTATTATCTCCACTGGATTTCTCAAAACAAATTTTAAAAACAGTTCCTGAAAACTAACGAAACTAAATTTATTTATCTTATTCAAGCGATTTCTATTTTAAATTTCAAATTTTCTAAAACTCAATTCAGTGTCAACCCATCACGATGCCCAAAATACCCAAGCCAAGCCTTTCCCTCAAAAACTCTCCAGAAGTCCTCGATATAAATTTAAAAATTCCCCCTAAAACGATTTGCAAAATTGATTTCCTCAAAAACATTGAAATCACCAGAACGTGACAGATTAATAAACAATTAAATCCCACAATACACCGGCAACTGCGATTAAAAATCAGCTGACAAATTCCAAATCGAAGAATCCAACGCACATAATCAAAAATCCCGGATTCTCCAAAAATTCTGTTGAATTTTTCTCCCCAAAATTCCCACCCCCATCCACCGAATATTAAAAATACTGAATATTAAAAATTCCCAGTGACATTGTTCGATAAATACTGAATACGCGATTCCCACATTGTGGCAATTTCCTTCCAGGAAGAAGAGAGAGAAAAAAAAAGTGGGAACACGTCAAATGAAAGGAACCGAGTGAAAGAGAGCAAGGAGACGTGCATTAACACAAGCTGACCGAGTTTTACGTACCCATGTATTACATCCCCCACCATCTGGTCATTTACCCAAGCGTCAAGTCTCGAGTCTCAGAGTGTCTCCACGAGTGCCAGACTACACGTCGTCATTGGGTCAAGCCCCAGGGCAAATCCAAAAGGCACCCCCAGGTGGCATTATCAAAATTTACCCAATAATAAAACGTGAACTCAAATGATATCGAATAAAACGAGTGAATCAAGAGGGGATGTGAAGTGAATGGCTTGAAGGTTAGTGAAGTTCATGTGCGCATGGTTGTGTAGGTCCGGGCCAATTTACTGGTTGTGGTGGTTATAAGGGGGTGATTATTATCTTTATTATCCCAACGCTTCTTTACAGGACAGGCAATGGCTGCCATCCGATACAAATTGTTCTCTCAAATTCTCCAGAAAGTGTGATGTCCACCGATATTATCCTGCTGGCATCAGCTATTCCGGACAACTGGCGATATGAAGACAGAATTTTTAGTATTGGATATTTAGACTGGGGGGGATGTCAAGTCGATAGTGTCAGTGATATGAAGGCGAAGGGGACTGTTAAGTGTAAAGACGTTGAGGTGGATTCGATTGAGGCCAATGAGAGCTATGACGAGTTCAATACTGTGATGGTGCCTGTGTCGAGGAGTCTTAGTCGTAGTCCACAGAGTGATGAGGGTATTGAGGCCGATGCTGAGGCTAGGAGAAGTGCTGTTGCCAGATCCTGGAGTATCGATTCTAATGGCGATGAATCTGAGGGCAAGGGAAATATCTGGCAGAAACGACAGGTCAAGCACAGGGTCACCAGATGCTGCAGCTCTGATAGTGCTGTGCTCAGTGATGATGATCAGATTAAGGGTGAGTTTTAAATTATTTATTGTATTATTTTTATTTATTTATTCGACGAATGAAATTGTTTGTGGGGGGTCGTGGCAGTCGTTAACTCGTGGAAATCCATTTTCCGATTCGAAATTGAAAATCTCGAAATCGAACGCAGATATCGGTATTTTTGTTATGATATTTTTTGTAGAGCGAATTGAGGGGCGGGAAAGAGGTCGTCGGAAAAATTTCGCTATCTCTTTTTGTTTTAGAGATATCCGTGATAAACTTGTCGAAGAGATAAGTCGGTTGATATCGGTTTATCATTTCGTGTCTGATATTCTCGTTTGGAAAATCGGGAAATGTCAGCATTTTGTTCTGTTGATTGGAGTCTTCGGATGTGTGGACTTCCCATAAATTTATGTACTTCGTGGGGTATCTGGAATTGAATTGATAGTGAGGATTCATCCTTTCCTGGTCCGACTACTCATCAACTCCCACTGGAATATTTTTGCTTCGACTGCATCATTAACACTTTCATTGATGAATTAAGAGTATGGAGAACTGATCTCAAGTGTTACGCATTTTTTTGCAGTGTATATTACGTAATTGAAGCCGTAAGAAAATAAAGTTGTGGATATAATTCTTTTTTTTTTCGATTTATTGCGAGACATGGGCGATTACGAATTATGGAGGACAGGTGGATTTCGATCGTAACGTGATTTTGTTGTGATTCATTAATTCATTGCTTCGGAATTTTCTGGTATTTTTCACAGGATGGGATAATGCGATCATCGGGGATCGTAGTGAGTGCGACTCCACGGAGGAGAGACCCAGGTACTGGAGGACTCCTAGTGTCGTCGTCAGTGATTATTCGGATTATTCTTATCTCGATGAGAAGTACGACAGGAGCGACTTGGAACTGGAGAAGTTCGAGAACTCTGGGACACCCAGTCAAGCCAGTAGTTGCTCCTGTCTCGATTGCGATGATATCCGAGAATTTCAAGACTTAACTTCACCGATTGACGGTCAATTACTCCAGGTCTGTGGGCAGAGGAGGCATTCCGACTCTTGCTGCACTTGCTTGCCCAGTAGCAGCATCAACACCGGGTAAAATAATATTTTACGATCTCATTAAAAAAAAATAATAGCTCCAGAATCAATTAATTAATTAATCAATTAATCGATAAATTTTCGTTTACTCCATACTCCATTACTCCGTACAAAAATTGATTGATCAATTGACGTTGTAATAAAATTGAAATAAAAAATCGGCATTTCACAAGAAAAATAATTGACAAAATTTTTGCAGAGTTGTCAATGGAAATCCCAGTAGACGAAACTCTTGCATGGCGACACCAAGCCCATACTCATCGAAATCAGAATCCCCGAATCCTGATGACGCCAGAACGAGCGTTGAACTCCTGGAGCTGCCGCCAGTTCGAAAGATATCCGACTGCTCCACGAATTCCAGCCTGAGTGGTGATGACTTCGAGGTCACCGAACTGCAGCCATTAAAGAGCTCACAGGTGAGCAAATGTTTTCCTCAAAAAAAAAAAAAAACTGCTCCGAAAACGAGAGCTCGCACTCTGGTGAACACCAGTTGCCATCTGACGGATAGGTTGTGAACAATTCGCCTTGATTAAGCCGCATCAATTGATCCCATGATAATTACTCTTACTGGTACTGCGGTGGACAGTAATCAGTAAAAATATCTCGTTAAGAACCCGACGTCCCCATTTTTCTTTATTTAACAACTCCACGAAGGAGTTATTACCCTGTTAATTATTTCTCCAGTGGAGGGATTAAAAAAAGGTATGAGCAATTTTTTTGCTGTTGCCCGTGGGCAATCACTCGAACACAATAAATTCAATGAGAGCCTGTATTAAGTAATACACGTGTTAAGATCACTTCTGAGAAATAAAATCAATTTGTCGGTATTTCTATCATCAACTGCAGCTCGGCAATTCGAGTCACGTTCAAAATAGCACGATTACTATCGATTATTTTGATTATTATTTTGAAACGAATGAGTCAATCCGGGGAAAAAATAACATACGCAGTGCCCCAGGGGCTTGCGCTCCAAATTGTCGAGATGAGAGGGTCGGAGAAATTGTTAAAACGGTACATAATTTACCATTTCTCTTTTTTTTTTTCCCTCACGTGAAAGCGCATCGTCACTGGGCGTCAGATACGTTGGCAATACCTAAATTTAGAGTACATTCACGTCAAAGTTTTTGCCATTGCGTTGAGAGAATAGCATAAGAGCGAGATAAAGAGACGATTCAATAGTTTTTGATGAATGGAAATTCCTAGAACGGGCTCCAGCTGACACGATTGTAACAACAATCACCCGAATACAAAAGAGAAAATGATAGTGCAATGATAACAAAGGATTGTAATACGTGTAGTGCATGTGAAAGACGTAAATCTTGAGCAATTATTGGGTAAATGCAACCAATGGGACAAGGTGGTCCCAGGACATTGAGTCCATCGAGTGTTGGTTCAATCTCCCAGTCAAGTCTCGATTGCCACATCGTTGTCCCTACTCCCTGGGTGAAAATTTCCAGTTGAAATCCTCCTCTCACAGACTTATATTCCACACCCACAACCAATTCCCCCATCACCACCACGAGGTTAAAAATGCTTTTGGGATGAGAAGATAAATAAATTGGCCTGTCCAGTCGTGTCCAGGTGGCCACTGCGATAACATCGAGCTAAATCGGCAAATTAACAATATCATTCAACAATACAGCAATCTCTTCTCTGCTGAATCAGTGTTATTGTGAAAGTTATTTGTTAATCATACTGGAGAAGGAAATGGCGTAGGCGGAAGTGCGGATATACCCGCTGAGGATTTACGTCACGAGTGACTGGAATAGTCGCGATTAATTTATCAATTGTCATGGTTTTTGATTATTACTATTGACACGTGGGTCTCTGGACCTCGAGGAGATAAATCTGCTAAAAAAATTTTTTGAAAAATTCGCCGGATACCGCCGAGGCCTCGTGCACGTTTCAATTTAATACTCATTACGTGTATGTAGACACTGGGGAGTAATATCGGAGTGGCAATAGTTGTCGTTGGAACTCGAAACATCGTTTCACTCCTGGGAAAAGCCATTGAGTACCTGTAAACCAGTTACTCATTTGTCCTCTCTCGTAATTATCTATTCTGGACACGAATCACGTCTCACGTCTCCTCGTTCCACTGCAATATCAGAATGAGTAGAGAGTAGTCACGTAGTGAGACGTGTTGATGAGTTGGAAATTATGGAGCCAGTCATATTTCACGGGATGTAAACAACTGGATGTTTACAGAGTACTGGTTATCACCGCCTTTTTTTTTCCTCTTTATTTTATGAATCAAGTGACTACCTTTGGTACTGCTATTGTCCAGGTACTGGATAAGGATTGTCTGATTGTGGAGTCTGATTCACTCCGGCAGGTATTACGTGGGTCGGGGATTATTCAGTCGGTTGGACTTGTTGGATGTATCAGACTTCTCAGTGACTGGGTATTGTAGCTTTTCTCGTAGCAGTTGTAGAGGTTGAAAAATGGATGATAACGAGAAATTGCAAGCCGGATCTGGCCGATGCATGCGCGTCGTTTCCCAGCCAACAACACCAACGTCACCCACTCTGAATCTCATGGAGCAGTTGCTCCTTGCGAAGATGGAGAGACACAGTATCGCTGATAATGATCAGTCTGATATCGCTGGATTGTCGAAAAAAATAGGACTCCTCAGAACTGAGTCCATGGACAGTCAGACAAGTGCAAGCACATTCAGCTCAGCACAATCTGGTGATTCGGTCGGCAATCGATATTGCAAGTGCGATGATTGTCTTCTCGGTATCGTCGATAAGCATCGGCGCCTGGCGCCCCTCACTGGCCGCAAAAAGGTAAATACTCTGAGATTTACTGTAGGTGTTAGGAGGAGATTGTTTTCTTTTTTTTTTTCTTTGTGTGTCAATTGGGCGTGAATTGGGAGGTGGAAACTTTCCACTGGGGCAAATCAGAGATCAAACATGAGGCTGATATACGACCGGTGCAAAAAATTCCATGGACCGACGTGAGGGAATGGTTATTTGTACAGAGAGATTTTTTTTTCTGGTGATTGTACTTCTTGTGATTTAACTGAGGAAGTATGGAGGTGTGTTTGAGGGTTTTTACGTTTCCGTGATAATTCGTCGTGATTTTTTTAATCAATTTTTTTTTAGGCTTAGGTTTTTTTTTTGATCGATGGTTTTTGCATTTTTTAGGCAGTTTAGGTTTAGGCCTTGAACGTGAGTTTATCGATGAAATTAAGTCTTGAGGTATGAGACAGGTAATGCATAAATGATTTCAACCACAAAATATATTTAATGCCTTCTCAAAAATTCGAAGAAGAATTGACTCGTAATTTCGTAGAACAAAATTGAAATTTAAAAATTCGGGTCGAACCTGAAATAATTATTTTTATTTTTTTTCCTGAGAAAAAAATTTCTTAATTTTTCAAAATGATAAATAAAAATAAATAATTTTAAAAAATCCTTTAAATAATCATTAAAAAAAATAATAATGAAAAAATGCGAGGAGTAAATTTGTAAGTGTGGGAATGGCCTCGAGAGCAATTTTTTAATTATAATTATTTCACAGGCTGATTGCTCCCATTGGTCAGATAATGCAGAACGTTTGATTGACGTTGGAAAGTGAGATAAAAAATAGAAACTGGCCTTCACGGGTAGATTGACGTATCCGACAGAATAAGTTTTTCGGTGGTACCAGAGAATTTTCCATTTACGGAATTCACTCAATCCCGCAATTTCTCCTTCGACATTTTTCCCCGTGATTTCTCAATTGCGGATTCAATTAGTCGTGTCCTTTAAGAGTTTATCGTGTATTACCTAACGCCTAACAAACCGTCTGGCTAATTGTCGCTATTCTGGTGCTTCACTGACAGAAAAATTTTGTAAAATATATCCTAAATCCATTTCTTCGCTATAAAGAAAATAGAGAAATAGAAAAATCAATTATTTGATTCGATTATATATTTTTTGTGAATATCGATAAGTAAAAAATATTTTTTTAATCTTAATATAAAAATAAAGAGTTATGAACAAATTATTGTTCCAATTAACAAATTTTTTTTGTGTCAGTGCTTACATTGAGATTCCGATCTTATCGTTTCAAGGAGATTCCCAAGTTTATTATTGCGAATTGACGTTGCAAACAGGCTTTCATCGATCATTAAGAATAATCGGAGGAAACTGAGAGAAAATCCCAGGAGCGAGAACAGCAATTCTGATAATGCCCGGAGGTATAATTACATCGAAAACTCTCGCAATTGCCTTCATTATGATCACACGTTGACTGCAGTATTTTAATGCAGTCCACAGGTGCTCCAAGAAATGCCTCCGTGCACTGCTATCTCTAATTTAATTAAGAGTGAGTGTAAAAAGATTGCGAGTGCAAACTGGTTCCAGGTATCTCCAACGATTCCTGAGTTATCCAAAAAATTTCTGGACTCCTGGAGTTATCGATTCGTTACCAAAATCAATTGATATTGAAAATTTATCGATGATCCTTGATCATTTCCCTCTCGACGATCTTCACATGATGTATTCATCCTAAACGACGACAAAGACATTAAACAATGAGAGGCTATTTGCACAATTGCGATAAAACCTCTGGTGCAGGTGGAATTAAACAATCGTAATCAGTGAATTTCACTCATCACCTTGGTTCCAGCTCTCAACATCAGAGCAAAATAAACGGAAATTACGTGGTGGGGAGCAAGACCTTGTGCCCGCACATCCAATGAATTCTATCGAGTTTCAATCGATCTGAAATTGAAAAAAAAAATACCTAGGTGTGCGCACAGGTATACGATTACCAAGTCGTATTATTTAATGTCACCCAGTGTCTTAACTATTTTTTTCACTCATTTCTTTTATCACTTGTGGCTATTTTTACCTAAAAAACGACAGTCATTATATCCGCGAATGACGTAGAAGACGATTAACCAATATTACGTATTTTGTCGTTATCACTAATCGATTAACTCGACACGGAATAGCGTGAATGGCCTCTTTGTCGTTGAATTAAAATGGAATAATTTCACATGAATTCTGTTCTGAAATAGTAAAATGGGAGGAGTGCATTTTTCGACACCAGTTTTCCGCCGATATTTCGGAATTGATTGGAGATATCGATATTTTCATTGATACCTTTTTTGCAGCTCTCATCTTCTTCTAAAAAAAATGTACCTACAAAAAAATCGGTATGTCCTTTTAATTCCGAGATATCCGCGAACAACTGGTGTCGAAAAAATAGGAATTTTTGAAAAATTCCGGATGGATAGAAATTTCAAGTGGAAATTGGTTTGGGGTTGAAAATACTACTGGTTGGTTTAATAAAATGCTTATGTACTTGGAGTGATCTACATGGCATGGGTTAATTAGGCAGTTACGCTTGCACTCGAATGACGCATGTACATTGCCGGGGCCTGCGGCTAAATCCACAGTAAACTGCGTGCTTAACTCGTCTGGAAAATGCCGGATTTGCGTGGCTAATCGAGTGAAAAATATGTCCAAATACAGTAATTAAAAACAGGCGTCTTGTTGAGTCAATAATTAAACAGGCACTGCGCGTAATCCGGTTTATACCCGATCGGATAGACGTACGTTGGAAAGAGAATAAATTCAACAATTCGGTTATCGAGATAACACCGGTTTCAATTTTTTCCACTCAAATATACGATACCGGATTTTTTTTTTCATTCGATTCAATTGATATATACATTTTTTTTTCTTATTCTAGACAAGTGATTATTTTATTGAAATAAAAATTTTTAGATTACAAATTTAATGAACATAAAAATTTCATTATGCGCGAAAAAGGGACAAACAATTTTCGATTCTGTTTAAAATTATGAGAGAAAAAAATTGATCGATTTGTCTATCGACTCATGACATCGAAGGCAACGTGTTTCGTAAGTTCATTAGAATAATGACTCCTGACGTGAATCATTCTTCCCACAATTTCACGAGTAAACTGGACTCAGAAATAAAAAAGACTCTCATAATTTCTGGAGAACTCATAAAACCCTAAATTTGCCGAATCAATTAAACGCTCATCAGACTCACATTTCTCAAAACTCCACGACAGGAATAAATTCCGTGATTAATCTATTGAGTTATTACCCCACAAAAAAAAATCTCATTCCAATTATTCCGGAGTAAAACCGCTGGACATGAATGACTTCCAAAATTTCCAAATTCCCCGAGCAATAAATCTCGAAGTGGTCCCTCATAAATTTCAAACAAACCAATTAAACCCCGAAATCACTTTAACGAACCAGCGATTCTCCAGACCAATCGATCATGATCGCCGCCGAAAAAACTTGGTCAACTCATTGCGTTAATTTAAAACTGATGATCCTTGCGCAATATTTACCACTGACGTCTGCGTCATATTATACCCAAAACAATGACTGCTCCCAATTCAGTCATAAAAAAAAATCAACCCGAGAAGAATTCCCGGAGTTCCACAAATTCCAGGAATTCCAGGTGATCTCCAACGCAACACGAAATTCCCAGGTGATAAAGAACTGGATATCAATGACGTATCAAGTGGAAATTCATGGAACGGAAGGAGTGATTCCCTGATAGTCAAGATGACTTGCGAATCGTCATCAACCAGCTGTTTTCCCAGTGAATCGTGGATTATACCAAGGAGATACTCCCTTTATACTGTCTCACTCTTATCTGCGTCATCGTGAGTTAACGGGGAATGACACGGAGTATATGACAACGTGTACGCATTAGCTCGGCTGGTAGTTGGAAGTTCATCATCGCTGGGTGGAAAGTCCTTTTTAGCGTGTGTATGTGGAGTTTCTTAGTTTTAAATCCATTGACTCTGGTATTGATGTATTAGTGTGATTCTCCGGTTTTACGTAATCCACGGCATCACGCGAAGTTGACTGTGTTTCGTTCCTTATAACGGACGTACCATCGGGGCAATACAGGCAGTGTCGGATTATCGGAGGCAAGACAGGTCGAAGAAAACCTGCACAGACCACTTTTATTTTTTATTCATTTTATTCACTTCATCTTTATTCTTGTCACTCCTGATATCAGTTATCAGACTAGTCCACAATTGTCTTCATGGACACAGGAATAATGACTCGTTTGTGATTGTCAGTGGAGATTGCGCGCGAATTTTCCACGAGGATGTTGATGACCTCCACTGGGATTTAATAAAATAAGTGCTGTTCATGAAGAGGATGATTCCAACGATCGTGTGCACCAAACCGAGTTTCAGTGATTGTGGCAGTCATCATGAGGATGATAGTGCTGGTGATAAGAGAATGGTAACTAAACAGAGGAGAATTTCCAGGCCCAGGGTAAGGAGGAACTCCAGGAGGCTCTCGGTTCCTGTCGACAGGGAGAGAAACTCCTCGTCCTCTAGAAGCCCCTCACCCAATCCTCGATGTAGAATCGAAAAGATTCAGGATGTGGAAATCGTTCGGATCGAGCCGGAATTTATTGATCGGTCGGTGGTGAATTCTCGTGATTGCGACAAGTGCTCTGGGTACAGGCAGTATGCACAGCTTCTCGATGTACCTCATGTTTTTTCAACGTCTCTCGAATGGGGTGAACCCAGTGGAGATGATCTTAGCTCTGAATGGGAGTCCGATCAGTCCGATGGAAAATCCAAATCCGTCGCTAGTGATAATTGTTTGCCAAAGGTAAATCGGGCGATGTGCGGATTTTTTTTTTCACGTGTTTTATGCCTCATGATTCTTTTCAGATTGAATTTCTTTTTTAATATTCATTTTTTTTAGTTCAGTGCAATTGAGGATCTAATGTTTTCGATTTTTCATTATTTGTTGTAGAGTTCTGGATGGAGAAAACTGAGGAACATTGTTCAGTGGACTCCATTCTTCCAGATTTATAAAAAACATCGGTATCCGTGGGTAAGAAATTATATTACATTTATTTATTTATTATTCAGACATTCGTTATTTCCTTATTGCCCACGCCGAGAGTTTCCGTGCTCTAATTCCTAATTTTATTATCTTGTTATGACATAATATGTAATATATTTTGTTATATAATATAATCGTATTTAAAAATCACAAAAAATTGCAATATGACCAATTTTTCATGGTCTTTCAAATATATTTTTTCATATAATCTCTATTTAGTGAAAATTCAGTTATGGCCGGGATGACGCAAAGATTCCACGAGAGCTGAAAAATATACGGTTTTAGCAATTCAATTCGTTTTTTCCCGCGTGCATCACATCACCTTGTTTACAGCTGATAAAATAATCAATAAAAGCTGTAAATTAATTTCCCCTCTAACTCGCCGAGTCAATTTTCAATGGCAATTTTTTTAAAATGAATTAAAAGTGAATTGGATAATTTTTTTCTGCTCACAACGTAATTCTCCATTTTTGTTGACTGTGGAATTTCGATTTTTTGTCATTCGACAGGTTCAGCTAGCTGGTCACCAGGGTAATTTCCGTGCAGGTCCAACACCAGGGACAATCCTGAAGAAGCTCTGCCCCCAGGAGGAGGCGTGTTTTCGCCTCCTGATGCACGACGTCCTGCGTCCGTACGTTCCAGAGTTCAAAGGAGTCCTGGACGTACGGGAATCCGAAGAGGAACGTCAGAATCATAACTCAGAGGCCCCAACGAAAGACCACACAGAGGATTCCAATCAGAGTCCCATCGTGGCGTCTTACCTCCAGCTGCAGGACCTCCTGGGGGACTTCGACGAGCCCTGCGTGATGGACTGCAAAGTCGGAGTGCGAACCTACCTCGAGTCAGAACTGGCAAAAGCTAAAGAGCGCCCAAAACTACGAAAGGACATGTACGAGAAGATGATCCAGGTAGATCCACTGGCGCCGAGCCCCGAGGAACGTCGACTCCAGGGTGTGACAAAACCCCGGTACATGGTGTGGCGTGAGACAATATCCAGTACAGCAACTCTGGGCTTCAGAGTGGAGGGCATCAAGTTGAGCCACGGTGGCTCCTCCAAAGACTTCAAAACCACTAGAACACGAGAGCAAGTGACTGATGCATTGAAAAAATTCGTCGAGGATTATCCACATGCTGTACCCAAGTATCTTCAAAGGCTCAAGGCCATTAGAGCAACCCTCAAGGCATCGCCATTCTTTGCGAGTCACGAGGTCGTTGGATCGAGTCTTCTTTTTGTTCATGATGCTAAAAATGCCGGTGTCTGGATGATTGATTTTGCCAAGACACTTCCACTACCCCAGCATCTCCATAAAATAAGGCATGACACTGAGTGGGAAGTTGGTAATCACGAGGATGGGTATCTCATTGGTGTTAACAATATCATTGATATCTTTGAGGACATTAGAAACTCAGAACCGTGATCATTGGGTGAATTTTGTACAATTGGTGGCACGAGGCTGTGACGTGCTGTGTAAATGAGTGTAAATAGAATGAATGATTGAAGAGTGAGGGGAATTCTTTAGTGAAGTGGAAAATTCAATGGCTCTGGTGAATTGAGGGCTTTTAACTGATAACTGTGAATAATGTATTTTAGCAAAATTGTGAGGGAGATTAATCTAACTGTTTTAATCGAAAATAACTTTGTATCCAGCCAATTGAATCATTCAACAGGAGATTGGAAGAAAAGGCGAGGATAAAGCGAATTTTATATTTCTTTTGAATATCGATCGATCTCAAAAAAATCAATAGGTATTGATTCTACGAGGAAATGGGAGAAAACCTTTTTTGGAGGGAATTTAATTCGCTATAAAAAATTTATCTGGTGCTTTCCACTCGGATCAATACTTTTTGGTAATTGAGAGGTTTTAATCACTGAACGAAGTTTTCAGGATAAAATGTATTTGACGAATAATTTGTTTTACCGCTCCACTATTGAATTCCATGGACGTAAACTCGTTAGTTCGATAGAATTTTCAATTTTTTCATTTGTCGGATGATTGTCGAGGAGACTAGCAATGAGCTGTACCCTCACTTCGCCCACAAATAGTCCAAGTTGAGAGTACGTAAACTCTGTAGTTCGATAGATGGACTCCAAGCCCCTCCCCATCCCGGAGGATCCTAGAGATTCTGATGTACTTTGCGAATCGACTTAGTCTAATTAACTTTTTTTAAAAAAAAAACAACAAACCAAAGACGCGGTAGCTGTACCTATTACTGGATGTCAGTCACTTAGATTATTGTACATAAAACCCTGATTCTTCCACCCTTCGATATTGCAAAATTTATTAAAATTAGCTTTTGTATAAACTGTATTTGTACGATTGAAAAAATCATTGGTATTTGAAAAATCACAAGAAAGCATTCAACTTGAGTTATTTCACCATCTCTTTTAGCTCATCAATTTTTATTAATTTAATTTAACTACTTATACGTAAGACTTTTATTTATATTTTTTGAAATAACATTGCGAAAATCGTCTCCTGATACGAGCGATTATTTTGTATTCACAAAGCGTATTCACACGTTTGTAAATAAATTGTCATTTATCATATTTAAGAACAAAAAAAAAAAGAAATTTATTCCACTTGATTTCACACTATCGATTTAAAAATCGTTCTTTCGACACTTCACTGAGTGTTCACACCTTAAAAATCACTGCCCCCCCTCCCCCTTTCATCGATTAATAAAAGCCCCAAGAATAGAATTAATGGATTCAGGGGGTATTGAAGGTATTTCTCGGTGATTGCCCCTGGAGATTCTGTTGTTGGGTATTCGTTGCTTGTGTCGCTGCGATTGTCGTAGGTGCTATCACCCTGGCGTAGACAGCAGCCCCTGTTTTAAGTCCTGCAGGTGTTGGAATCACCTTGAGACCGTGGAGTGTCTTGATGTTGAGCAATTGACTTGGTAAAATAATCGGCTGTTGTCCCTGCTGTTGGCCAGCTCCCTGTTTACCCAGGACCATTCCCCCAGTACTGCTGATACCCACACCAACACTCTTGTTCCCACTGGCTAGAACTATCGGCTTTCCAGCCAACTGGGCTGTCACCATTCGCACAGTCTGACCTCCAGCTGTTCCAGCCTGCTGTGTACTCGCGATTATCTTTGATTGACCTGGAGACGCCTGCGCCTGGGAAACCACCTGTGCAGCAGGACAAAAATATTATAAATTATTTCAAAAGTTTTTCTATTATTAAATTTGCCGATTAAAATGTTCGAGGAATAAGGAAAACGTGAACATCCTTTATGATTTTTCCTTTAAAATTATTCTCTCAACGTTATTTTGCAGTATCAAAATACCGCGAAAAAAAAAAGAAAAAAATAATTTTTGCGAAGGTTTTATCCCACAATAACTCATCGAGATAATTAATTTCTCCTTTTTCAGCAAAGTGAGGAACTTATCTTTCACCAAATATTGTCGTATGATTCAATTCCATATTTATATTTTTCTTATTCCCCCGAACAACGTCGTATTTTTCCCACTGACGCAAATCCTTGACGTCAATATCGATTCGACCCACCTGATACTGCGTCTGGATCACTTGTTTACCCTGTCGATTGACTTGTCCCGTGGCAGTGGTGGTGGCAGCGAGTTTCAACCCCTTCTGGGCGAGAAGACTCTCGACAGATATAAGTTGTCCCCCACCAGTGCCAGTCAGAACTTTGGCAAGAATTTTCTGCTGCTGGTTCTGCTGCTGATGAGGAGACTGTTGAATCTGTACAGCAATAGGTTTTCCCCCAATCTGAGCAATAATTCTCTGCATCCCAGGAGTTGAAATGGTCTGGGGCTGTGGCTGATGATGCTGACTGGCAGTTGGTTGTTTGATCTGCTGGACGTGTTGAATATGCGGAGTGTGACTGGTTCCAGCTGCTGACTGTTTAATAAATATTGTCTGACCTTGAAGCCCATGACCAGTCAGCAGTGACTTGATCTGCCCAGAGCTCACCAATTTGATCTGAGAGGCTAATAGGGTCTTCCCAGGTAAAACATGTTGAGCCTGTGGCTGATTAACCTGCCCAGGTGATTGTTTAACACTCGAGGCCTGCAGAATACTCTTTCCCTGATTACTAATCACTGCTTGTTGAGTTTGGCCTTGAATTTTAGCTGTGGGGAATATCGTGGCTACACTCGTTGGTGTCAGGGTACTACCCGATGTCGCCACAGGCTGTGCTGAGTGGAGCACAGAGTGCCCAGACAGTCTGATTGTCTGTAATCCAGCTGACGTCGATACCTGTATCTGATGATGAGGAAAATGCTGATTCGACTGCAATAAACTCTGGGCTGGATTCGTTTTGACAACAGTCACTGGCTTTCCTCCAATGTTCGTTCCCACTTTTTTCAGAGGTCCCAGTGAAGGCCCCACAGCAGTCACAGGCTTCATCTCAACAGGAATAACACTCTCCCGTTCAACCGGAGGCAATGGAGTTGACAATATCGGCGAGGGTAGACTGGGTGTCACCACAGGAACACTGGGAGCTGTTGTGATGACTGGAGGGGGCACTGGAATAACCGTGGACACTGGGATGGTCTCAGTCGATACAGACTGATCCACAACAGTCTTCTCCTCGACCCTCTGCTCCTTTCTGATGATCGCCTGGGTCTGCACTGTCGATTTTCTCTCCTTCTTGGGAGTCGTCTCTCTAACACACGACGGCGACTGCTCCTTTCCATTAACCAATTTTGGACTCGACTGCGTCGACTTATTCCTCGACGATCCACCAGAATTTTTCTTTGTTTTAACAACCCCCTGGAGCTGCTGGTGGAACATCTCGAATTCTGATTCTGATCTTGCCCGATGGAGGTACAGCCACTCTTTTCTCTTTGGATAATACCTCACACATGGATCAGTCTCGTAATGCAAACGATCGAGAGCCCCAGAGACGACGGAATTCAGGTAATTGTCCTTGTCATTACCCACTTGATCGCTCTGATCCTTGATGTACTGGGAATCCTTTAACAACATACAGATATCTGCTCTGGTTCCCTCTCCATTGGGCAGCCTGGCAGTGGCATCTCGCACGAGTGCCAGAATAGTGACGAAATTAGGACGATCAGGAACGAGAAGAGAGTGCCCCCTGGCCTTAGTGAGACCAGCCCCAGGATTGTGCTGATAAATCCCTTTGACAGGCCCCACCACAGAGGCATAACCATGCATTCTGTACGTAAAGGCCTTGTGAGGAGCTGCATAACGCAATCTCTCCTGCCTCCTGAATTCCTCCCTCTCCTCAGGGCTCGACAGTCTGACCTTCCAGTCAGTGGGGCAAAGCGCCTTCGGGGGCTCGCTCTCCATCATCGCAGTGAGTGCAGCCCCATCGGCTGATATCGATTCAACGACCGGACTCGATGTTTGAACTGGAATTCCATTAGCACTCGAGACTGATTGAACCGAGGTAGATTTCACCGGGACAACTGCTGGAGGAGGAGGACAGGGCACCACATGAGGGCCCAATGACTCTTTGTACAGGAGGAATTTTGTGCAGATTGTGCTTAACCTGGAGTCCGAGTCCCTGCCAGCTCCAATCCACGCGTATACACCTCTTCCCTTATTCTCAAGATAGGGTACAAACTCGTGGTCACGTTCCTGATCGAGTTCTTGGGAGTAAGTTAGCTCTCCAGCGAGGAAACCGAGGGCTGAGGGCACCAGATTACCCCAGGACGACGCCAATGAGTACCAGTCGTTCAATGGGGATATTGGATTGCTCTGCCAGAGTGCGACAGCCTCCTTCATCTCTGGAATACTCATCCTGTACTCTCCCTTCGACATGAAAGCATCACGCAGGAGAGAGAAGAAACATGTGTGGGTCTCCTGCATCAGGTCACCACTTCCATTCATCGTGATATCCTCAGGCTCCAGGGAGACTTCTCTCTCGGTTATCGATATTGAGTGATCGTTGTCGCATTTTACATCCTCCAGGATTCCCATGCCATCGTCCAATTGAATGGGAATCTGCAGCATATCGATATTCTCGAGGTCCAGCTCCTTCTTCTCGGATAAATCCTCGCTCATTTCACTCTCCACTCGGTGCTCCTCGGGGAGGATGAAGTCTGGCTTCTCCTCGGGCTCGATAAACTCCTCGATTTCTTTCTTTACCTCGAGGGGAAGAATAACGGGAAGGGGCTTTGAGGGCTTTGGTATTGGGGGATTGGACTTCTTTTTCGTGACGAGGGGAATTTCGTAGGTATCTGTGGGCTCGGGTTTTACTGATATGAAATTCTGGAGATCTAGGTCTTGTCTGAGGGGATTTCGGAAGTTATCGTCTAGGTGTTCACCGTCGAATTCTGTCTTGATTGGTGGGAGTTTCATGGGCATTGATTGGAGAGAGGGAACAGGGGGGAGGGGAGGTATGGGAGGAGGGGGTTCGAGTTTTATTCTCTTCTTCGAGGTGGTTTTGACGGTGTTACCACTCAGTTTATGTTTCTGGCCGATTTGGGCTCGTTGGGTCAAGTCAGCCAGAGCTATTCCTTGGGTATTTAATTCTGGATGAATATCTCCTCGAGATCTTCGTTTCTTGTGAGTGATGAGCATTGCTTTGTAACTATCCTCAGTGATTTCACGGGGGATAAACGAGGGATTTGCCAGACACTCGGTCCTCTGGAGGGTCGAGAAGACTGGTCTTATGTCCTCGTCCTCGAATAGTTGACTCGTTCGCAATTGCGAGGACTGAGGGCCCATTTGTACTTTTCTCTTTCTTTTAGTCTTGGAGGGGGGCTGGTACTGCGGATAATTCTCTTCGTTCTCTGAAGTTGTGTCTGCAAGCCTCACCGTACCCAGATCATTTCTCAAAGAATTCAGCTCCTCTAGATAACGCGACTGTGTCCTCTCCTCGATTATCGAGGGCTTTGGCTTGCGCCAGTGAAGTTTTGAGGTCGTTTGTGTCGATTGACTGAAGCCCTGTTTATACGCCGTTAATAGGAGACTCTGTCTGGACTTCAAGAGCTGCTCGGCCAGCTCGTACGTTCGCTTTCTCTCGTCAAAGAGGAGCCTTCTTTGTTGCGCCTTACGCACCAATCGACGCATCCTACGAATATCCGGGCGATAGTGGCCAGAAGACAGATGCGTTGTGAATGTGTCGAGTGGAGAAACTCCAAACCTTTGGTTCTCTCTTTGGAAAAGCAATTGTAATGATTTTTCCTGTTCGCCAGCAGCATCACAGTCTTTGGGAAATAATGGCAATAATTGTGACAGCGATAGCCTCTGATCATCTGTCAAACAATCCTGCCACAAGCTGGGATTGAGCATCTCCTGGAGAATCGAGGGATGCTCGCACAAATCCTGAGGTAGTTTCACTTTGACACCAGCAGCAACACATGTTTCCCATCTGACTTCATCGACGGATTCACGTTGATCAGGCAGTTGAGAATTATCATTATCACCATCATCGTCGGAGGAATGTGTCTCAGAGCCACTGTCCTCATCTCCACTGTCATCAGCACTGTCTGAGCTAGAACTACCACCACTGGAGCTACTGGTGCTGCTCTCAGTTCTCGATCCATGCATGGACTCATCATCCTCCTCTTCCTCGGCTCCAGACTCCCCTCCAGCAGAACACTCGTCAATCTGCACGAATGATCAATCAACTGAGATAAACAATCATCACAGCATAGAGCAGATTACGTAATAGGAGAAATGGATATGAATAATATTCGTAAAATATTTCCAACTAGTGTGTACACGAGTGAATGAGGTTAAGACAACGAAAATACATCTTTCATCGCGAAAACAACTCACCTCCATCATTTCTAGTTTATTGTCTCGTGATTGTTCAATCAAATAATTATCCCGTCGATATCCAGAGCCTCTTCTCGTGCAGCGATAAATCTCCGACACTTTGTTACAGAAATAAATAAAAATCGAGGATACACTCAGACTGTCAAAGGCATTTCCACGAGTTGACGTGGGATCATTGAAAGGATGTAAACACAACTGTTGACTGTTAATTGCACGGTAATGTACATTAATTGTTTTTATTCCAATATTATCTATTGATCGTGTATTATTAGGTAATCTCGCTGTTGGACGATCGACCTGTCACAGCCAGAATACTCCTACTCCACTGTGAATTCTTCGTCATGGCGCGGAGTACGGAAATTCCAAAAGCGAAAACTGTACGGTGCGTGTTTGTTGTATCAAAGTGAACACGAAGTGCAGACAGATGCGCATTCGCAGTGGCAAAATAATTACGGTGGGGGGGTTTTCATCACTAAGTCCATCTGGTGGAAAGACTTCCTTGGGGAATATTCAGTCACGTAAGATTACACCTTTGCCTTTTTTGGCGGGAAAATTTTCAAGCTTTAGACTATGGACTTTGAAGAATTAAAAAAAAAAAAAATTTCGTACCGGTGGTGAAAGGTCTGAATTAAAAATTAAAAAATTCGGGTTGATCACATTCCGGTCTTCAAATCGATATGTGAATGGGTATATATTTCCATTTATATAATTACAGTTGTTTTCGATATTAAATAGTGATTTTTTTTTTAATTGAAAAGTTTTTATTCAGTACTTCCAGTGGAACATTTGAAATTAAGTCAATGTAGATTTAGATGCAGTAATACTTTTTCATTTGTAGGTTTTCCTATGGAATCCTTCAGAGATTAGGTCGACACCTAATCCCTTTCCTTACTTTATCTTTTTTTTGCAAAATATATTTATCTTTAATTCCTTGAGAACACACAGAGAACGAGTTATTGAATTTTAAGATTAATTGTTGTTCTTGATATTGATCCTTTATAGAAGAGGAAATTGATTTTTTAGAAAAACCATTAACTGTATTTATTTTTCAATGAGTCTGCACACGAATTTCAATTCGTGATTATTTTCAAGTCGTGACTCAAGTCTCAATTTTTTTCCACGAATGCAAGCAATTTTTTCTTCAAAAAATATTCACAAAAATAAATCCCAACCCATCTCTTCTTCTCAACAAACGAAATGGAATAGAAAATACGTCTCTTTTCGAATAAATAAGATGAATGCAAGTGACGAAGACTCAACGTTTGCCTGGCCTTGACCTACCAGCTGGACGATAGCGATTAGATTTTCTACACTTAAAGATGATCATCTTCGTCGGTGTACGTAGATGTATCTGGATTTGATGACGGGATCCACAGCATTGAACGTTGATTATCTGAAAATGATCCAGCGTCGTTCGTATCTTCAACATCGTTATCACTATTAAGGGTGAAGTGGCCCCTTAGCATTAATGATCGCATTTGTTCTAAAACCTGATGTAAAGAGTCCTGTCTCTGTTCCGTTCTGTCAGTCAAGGGTGTTGCATCGCCACTCGCATTTCCCGCTGGTGTCTGAGGTGTATTGCTGGGTGGTACAGGTGTATTCGTTCCATCTCCTGTACCTGTTTGAAATATTTACAAATATTTTCAGAAGATTCGTTTCGGTTTTGCCCCATTATCTCCGAGAGTAATAAAAATATAATAATCAATTGAATTACCCATCGTATCACTTGCTGGACTTGCTGGTCTCTCTGCACCTCTGATCTCCCTGATAACAGGCTCATCTTCTCGATTCAACCTCAACCCGGCGACACCTTTTTTTGGAACGTTATGCAGATCTCGTTTTATTCGTCGGTGTCTCGATGGATCATTTCTCCGAAGCTGCAGCATTGAGCCGAAATCTGCGATGTAGAGGAAACCAGCTATCAGGAGCTCACAGGTCCTCTTTCCTTGTTTATAAGCTGTCTCCAGTTCTAGGCTTGTTCTGGGGTCGTACTGCCACCAGCCTGCAACATCAGAATATTTTTTATGTGCAGACTACTCTACGGGAGAATTCTCAAATTTTTTTTCTCTCAAAAATCTCGTTTTCGAAGTGAAATTGAGAAAATTATCGAATTGGATGAATTAAGGATAATAAATAGTCAAGTGTTTTATTCAAATGAATTTGCTTTCATTTATTAAAAAATATATTCGCTTGCTTGAGGTAGCAATTGTAAAAAAAATATTGTCCATTTAAAAATAGCAAATCCTTTGGATTCAATAATTTCGTAACATTCGTATTTGTGGTTATTTCGATGTTTTTCATTCATAAATTCGAATGTGGTGGGAATTTAGTGTCAATAATTTCCAATCAACGGACTCCAGCGACTCCCTTGCATGGAAAAGAAATTCGATCTCTTTTTATTCTACGTTTTCTCTTCGGTTGAGTTTTTTTGTACTGGCATAAATTTTTGAAATCAATAACGTAGAGTGCACCACAGATTAATAGTTCACACGCGGTTTCACCGAGATTTCGAATTGTGTCGAGGTCACCGCTCGTCCTTGGATCAAATCTCCACCAGCCTGGGAAAATTTATAGTTCAAACATTCAAAAATTCTCTTCAATAGCTAAAATAAGCAGAAGACGTTCAATTAATAATTTGATAAATATTTCCGAAACTGATGAGATGAGTTAAAAATTTTCAATAACTCTGGGCTCTTCACAGAATTTATTTTAGAAAGGGGAAAATGTCACTCGCAATGAAAGGTCCACATTTTTTCCCATGGAATAAATTCCAGTGTCCTTGAATAAAGAAATTTATTTACCATTTCGTCCTTCATAGAACCATTGATATTCCTCATCAGTGCCTGGTACTTTGGACTCTTCAACCTCCACCAGCTGCGGTCTCTCGACAAAATCAGCTGGAATTTCTTGTCTGCACATCGGACACTTTTTGCTCTGATTAGCTACCCCTTTGACACAGAGATAGCAAAAAATGTGGGTACACGGTAATTTTGCTGGATGAATGCAAGGTTGGAGGCACACAGCGCATTCCAAGGACGTCGAAGTTCCTGTTATCAAAAGCATATATACAGAGAAATAATTTATTACCTCCCTGAATGAAGTCATTCATCTAAATCCATTCGAACCGCCGATAGAAATATCTAGAAAAAAGCAGGCCACGAAAATGGAACGAAATAAATCGATGACCTCATCTGAAAGGGCCATCTCGAGATTTTACAAATGCCAAAAAACCTAGAAATGCATTCAATATTTCGTCAATGTCTTTAGACATTAAATGACACCGCGGGAAACCCAAAAAAAATAATTCCTTTTCTACGTCTAATTTTTATGAATAAATAGTAAAAAGATTTACCTTGTTTCTCCTCTTTTATTGTCTCCTCGGTTAGGTCAACGGTTTCCACAGCTGCTTGTGCCATTTTTTTAAGGTGTCGAAGGTTCTAATGAATTATTTCACGTGCAGACACCGAGATAAAATGCCAGGATTCAATGGTTTTTGATTCTCCCAGAAGATATGGAAGTAAACATAAACATAACAGGCACATACATGTTTATCACTAGCCTTGAACAGCCATCTTGGATTTTGCTGCAGAGGCTCTCAAATTCCGCGGCGATGGAGTGGGTCAACCGGAAGTGGCGGGTACCGGAAGTATTAGCGATTTTTTTGAAAAAACGAAATTTCACCAGGAAATATAATAAACAAACGCAGTGAACCGGAATAAAAAAAAAAATTGTTAACAGTTCCAAAAAATCTTTTTAATTTCACAGATGCAGTTTCTTTTTTTTTTAAACAAATACAATATCGTAATTCGTAATTAATCAGCATTATTTTGCGGTCAATCCATTATGGAAATTGGAGATTGCATATTGCCTTGTGATTAAATGCACTTACGCCAGCATTACTTCCTGCATTACGCGATTATTTCATCAGTAGAACTTTCCCGTCAATTTCCCCACATCCAGTTTTGATAATGCACTCTAACAAGCACCTGATCCTCTTAAAACTCATCTACATCGGCACTACCATAATGGGTCTTGCTCCCTACAGCATAAAAATTTCCCCTCGCACCTCGACAAAATCCAGTTTCAAATGCAAAATAGCCCAGTCAAAATTGGGAACAGCCTACAATATTTTATTGTCAATCCTATTGGTCGGAGGTACACTAATCGTTACTCCCCGATTGATTGAATGGCAGTACAGTAATTACTCAGTACTTTTCATAATTGTAGTTGCATTGACAACAACCGGAAATATCATTTGCATAATAGTTGTCATTTATTACACGCTTAATCAAAATCAGATAATTATCATCGGTAATCAGCTGAGTGATTTCGACGAACAGTACGAGAGCAAATTTTTCAATAGATCCGGTGATTCAAGAAGATTAAAAAAATGTGGCAATTGGATAAAAACATTCGTATTAATAATCATGTGGTGTGGTGTTTCCTGTACATCGGTAATTGTTCCACAATCAGCGGCATGTGTTGCCAGCTTTTTTATCACAGCCATTTTGAGTTCTGTTCACATGCAGTACAGTTCAATCGTCGATAATCTAAAATCAAAATTCGAATGCCTGAATGAAGTTCTTCCCTCGGTATTTCGAAATTCAATTTCAAACATCGAGAGCCACCAATTCATCGGAGATATTCCGAATCATCAGCTGATCGCTCATAATTTTATAACATTCAAACGGGCCCGCAAAAAATTGTACAAAAATGCCTGTCTCATTTCTGATTTTTATTCATTCCCTATTTTACTGACTACATTCTATCATTTCTGCGCTACTCTTGACACCTTTTATTATTTATTATTTACTATTATCCAAGAGTCGAATTTCACTTTAGATATTTGGAAAATGAATATTTTGTTTTGGCTGTCGATTTGCATGTACCCGAGTATTGCATTGAGCAAAAGTGTACGGGCATTTAATAAAGAGGTATTATTATTAATTATCCAATTATATTATTAATTATCCAGAATTTTTTTAGCTCCTGAAAACATCTGATATTATATACGACATCATGGACACGTATGCCTTCAACAGAGAAATTGAATATCAAGTAAACCGTGTCACAATTAAATTTCAACGATAATTAATTATCTCGTATGTTAATTAATAATTGTATACTGCAGCTGAATAATTTTGCTATTGAACTCATACACAAGAGAGTTGAATTCACGGCTTACGGATTTTTCTCTTTGGATTGTTCTTTACTGCAATCAGTGAGAAATATTATTTATTAAATATTACATAAATTGTTGATTGAAAGGTAATTGATTAATTAATTTTGGCAGATGTTCGGGGCTTTTGTGACGTACTTGCTGATCCTCTTGCAATTCAAGCCGAAGGATATTATGAAAAATTAGAGTACTGCGAGTTTTACATCATTATTTTATTCGATAATGGAATTTTGCGGATCAATAATTCATTCCATTACAGACTCATCGCAATTGCATTCATTTAATCATTTTTCTGAGGAATTTTCATTGGATTGAGGCAGTGCACATCAAGACATCAATCAACATGATGAATATAACGGAGACCCCGAGAATAAATTCCATTGCTGTTCGAGCAGTTCAGATAATATTCTCAGCGATAGGATTAGCTCCTTTTAAAATTCAAATAGTTATTCCTCCAGCGAGTGATAATAAATTCATTTACATTTTCTCGTATTCCAAATCAGGATGCGCGTATAATATTTTTTTGATCATGATTTTTTGTGTCATACCAGTTGTCATGATGCCACATATTCGTAAAGACTATGATCTCCCGTATTCAACATTTATTGTTGCCTTGGACATGATAATGTCAGTGATCGGAAATGTTTTTGTTATGATTATAGCGCTGATTTATTGCGTTCAACAGAGAAAAATTGTGAAAATTGGAAATCGATTGAGTAATTTTCGGTTTAAATTCTCATCACGTCTCGCCAAGAAGTCCAGAATTTTTTATTACGTCGTTATCTCTTCATATTTTATCGTATCAGTTACCACATTTGTACATTATTTTATCAGATCGAAGATGTATATTTTTTTTTCATTCATGGTGTGTGCAATAGTTCTCTGTGGATTTCTGATGCAATACAGTTTAATCGTCAATATTCTGAAGGATCAAATAAAAAATCTCAACGAGTCCTTCAGTACGATCACAAAATTTCCGATTGCAACGAGAAATATTTACATTCTCCCGAGAAATATTCCAAAAAATCGATTGATAATCCATAATTTAATGGTGATCAGAGAGGCGCGACATAAACTCTACAAAATAGCATGTGACATTTCTGATTTTTTTTCCTTCCCGGCTCTATTAACAATTTTCCACTGCTCCTGCAATTGCGTCAGTACTCTCTATTTTTCAATAATTAACTTCATGTACCGAGAGAGAAATTCCGTGGATTCTGTTTCACCAATTGTTTATGTGATAGAAGATATTTTTTTCTTGTCACTGTACGCATATCCTATTATCATATTAACTGACAGCGTGAAGCGATTCACAAGAGAGGTATAAACAATAAAAAATAATAATGAAAATTGTAATTTTTAAAATATCCATTTTTATTCCGGGATTCAACAGATGAATAGAACCGCCGATATGATATACGATATTAGACAGGAGAACGCACTGAGTAAAGAAATCGTAGCTGAGGTAAATATTTATAAACAGCTTAAATTATTTATCAATTAATTAATTCAACAATTTATCACAGTTGAAAGATTTCGCGGTTGAATTGATCCACAAGAAAATCAAATTCACAGCATTTGGATTTTTCTCTCTGGATTGCAGTCTCACCCATTCGGTAATAAATTCAAATCGACAATTTCGATTCAATTATTTAATTATTCAATAAATCAAGTGATTCGACGATTTTCACTCCTCAATTCTTTTACAATTTCTTATTATTTAATTCATTTTTAATCTCGTTCAATTTATTATTCATTATATATTTTAGAATAAACAATATATAATAATGTATAATTAAAGATTTTCAGTATGACTGCCACATATCTGATGATTCTTCTACAATTTACACCACCCAGAGATGCAACGGAATAAATTATTCTTTTTTTCATTATTCCACTCCAATGAGAGGGATAAATAATTCACGATTTTAAACAACCGATAGTCATTATCCCACGACATGATATTCCATTAGCTAATTGCATGTAACGTGAGTAAAATTTCTAGACTAACTATTGACAATTTAATATTTCACTCGAGCTCATGAAGAAAAATGAAAATCGGTAACATTTCTCTCGTTATGTTCGAGATTTACAATATTATTTCGACATTACTCGGATTATTACCGTGCAGTATAAAAATATCGAGGCAATCATCCCCGAGAATTGGTGCATCATTTGCATTTTCATACTCACAATTGGGATTTGCGTACAATATTTTTCTGGCAGCTGTGCTGATTGTCATAAGTATAATCAGTGTGCCTCACCTGCAGATCGCTGAATACCCGAATAACTCGTACATTGTTAAAAACATTACGTTCATCCTGACATTAATGGGAAATGCGTTGGCAGCTGCCATGATAACTCTGTACGCTATTCTGCAGAGTGTGATAATCCAGATCGGCAATCGATTGTACGCATTCGACAACAATTACGGGAATAAATTAATTGAGAGAAGAGATGATGCCTTCGGAGTGGTGAAATTATTCCTCCCAATCAGTGTTATCTTCATCTGGATTGGTGTAGGGATATCAACAATTATGATGTCAGAGGAAAAGTATCTTCTCTACTCAGGACTATTTGGCGCAAGTATGAGCTGGTTTTTACTCCAATACAGTCTAATGATTCACTCACTCAGAAGAAGATTCCAAGGTCTGAACGATGCGCTCCTCGCCACGACAAGATCTCCAATTTCATTCGAGAATAATCTATTGTATCAAGAAAGTCTCTCGAGTGATCGATCAATCGTCAAGAATTTACTGACGATTAAAAAAGCACGGGGTGAAATGTGCAGAATTTCACGTCAAGTCTCCAGATTCTACTCCTGTCCTGTTTTAGCTATTATTTTTTATTGCTGCTGCAGCTCCGTTCACAGTATTTACTTCTACCTCATGATAATGATATTTCCGGATGGTGATGCCTTCCCCATCGATTCAATCGACTCGTATTTCTGGGTTCTCCTGGAGATTTATCCATTAATTGTTCTATGTGCGAGTGTCAACGCATTTCATGCAGAGGTAAGAGCAATAATTAATAAAAAATAAAGCCTTCATTAATAATTTCTTTCATTCCAGACGGATCGAACTGCCGATGTGGTTTATGATGTCATGGAGAAATACCCAGTAAACCGAGAAATCGGTTTTCAGTTGAACAATTTTGCTGTTGAATTATTGCACAAGAGAATCCATTTTACCGCGTGTGGACTTTTTTCGTTGGATTGCAGACTTTTGCATTCAGTAAGAGATTTTCTGATTTCTTTTTTTGAAGATTTTTTTTTGTTTTGAGATGATTCCTTTCAGATATTCGGAATGATCGTGACGTATCTCCTGATTCTCTGGCAATTCAAACCCATGGGTAATACCAGAATCTATTGATCATCCACCGATCAATACAGATGTTTGGAAAATACGTGCGCCCAAATTCAGTCCTGATTTTTATCGCGATGCATTACCAAATTGAAATAATGACAATGCTGTTGGAAATAGTGATGAGGACAACTGGAATTATTTTTATGTTAACTGTCGTTTTATATTGAGCAGAATGAATCGAACTAGCCGTGATCGTCCGATTTTACTCGTTCTCTTAAAAATCACTTATGTAATTTCATCTCTACTCGGTTTAGCACCTTACAACATTAAAGTAATCCACAAATCAAATCCAAAAGTGAGATTCACATTATTATTCTCATCATCACGATTGAAATATGTGTACAATGTTATATTGATCGGATTTTTCATCGGAATAATAGTGTTGGGTGTGCCACGCCTTAACGATATCTTGTATCCGAATAATTCGGCGATTGTGAGAATAATTACTCTAGTACTTACAATAATAGGAAATAGTGCAGCTGCGGTGCTCATCGGTCATCATTCTGTGTTCCAAGGAGATTTTATCCGAATCGGTAATCGATTGCATGAATTCGATAGGTTGTACGGCGATAAGATCATCAAGAGACGTGGAAATATTTTCGAAGAATGTCGACCTTTTGTTGCAATTATTATTATTATATTCATTTGGAATGGACTAGTTGTCGCCGAGATTATGGCGGGGAAAGAATTCATCTATTTGTTCACTTCGATGTTCAGTAAAGTATTTGCCAGTTGGTTGTTAGTGCAATATAGTTTATTTATTAATGTTCTCAAGAATCGGTTTGAAGGACTCAATTGTGCTCTCCTTCGGACTGTTAAACATTCAATTTTTGTGGGAGATGAATCATTTTTTAACAGGATTATTCCTAGTGATACTTCAATTCTCCAGAATTTAATCATGATTAAACAAGCGCGTAATCGAATCTACAAAATTTCATGCGAAATATCGAAGTTCTACGCGTTCTCGGTTCTGGTTGTCATTTTTTATTGCTGTTGCTGCTGTATTGATACTGTTTATTATTGTATCATGAGCTTGATATACTCTGAGAATGAGGATGGAATTATTCCTGTCTTTTGGGCATTGATCACTTCGTATCCCATTGTGGTATTGACTATGAGTGTCAATTCGTTTCATTCTGAGGTACGTGAGACTCAATTATTTTTTATTATATGTCAGATGAGTTGATCAATATTTTATTGCAGACCCATCGGACTGTCGAGATTGTTTATGACATCATGGAGAAACATGCGGTCAACGGAGATGTCGAGTACGAGTTGCATAATTTTGCGGTTGAATTGTTGCACAGAAATGTCTCGTTTGACGCTTTCGGATTTTTTTCATTGGATTGTACCCTTTTGAAATCAGTACGCCATGTTTTCTTCAAATATTCAATGAACCTCTTTTTTCAATTTTAGTGAGTAGTACAGAATTTTTATTTTCAGATTTTTGGAATGATTACTACGTACATTCTGATTCTCGTGCAATTCAGATCGACGGATGACGCAGACCAGTAACTCTACACGCGTCCGCCATTTTGTCGGCCTTCCTAAGCAAGTCTTATGGCGAAAAAATGAAAAATTGTAACTCTCCAATTGGATTGAAGTAATAAACAATTACATAAATAATGAGATAATAATAAACTTTACTCAGAATAATACTTTATTTATTTCCGAATTTTTTAACGATGTGATGATAAAATATTGAACACCGCATAACAGTAAACTCGTTAATGAAAATATTGACATCACTTCTTAATGAATAATCATCAATTGTTGTTATCGCTAAATCTACACGAGGCAGTCTATGACATCGTATTAATACCATTCAATTTACATTTAATCTTACACTATCCTCTGCACATGGGTATCGGGAAATGAGAATGTGACTAGGTATATTTCACATCACCGCTGTTTCATCACCACAAATACTATCCAAATCATTATTACCGTTTGATTTCGATGATTGTTTTTAAATTATCAATCCAACGACAGAATGGACTCGATGGACGTTCGGTTTTTTGGCTGGAGCCGAGGGCCTCCGAGGTAGCTCAATGGATTTGCAAATGTTCGCATGTCCTCAGCGAGAAATATTGGGGCCATACTCAAAGGTTTCATCTTTGTGCCTTCTGCAATTAGAGTTACAACAATTATTCAATTACATACACACAATGACCCCGGAATTTCGTTGAAAAAATTAATATTATTATAATTATTATACCTGGAGTCGTTGCTTGCGACTTCGACTGTCTTCCTTGTGTGAAAGATTCCTGCAAATAAATTATCTCCAAATCAATTGTCAATTAATAGACAAAAGCACTAAATGCAAATTGACATTTCGACTCGAGTTGATGCGAGCGATAAATCGAGACAATCGACAGCATTGTCGAGTAAAAAAGCAGCCCAAAGCATTGTGCATGCAATGAAATGATATTGTCAATGATAAACAACATAAATAATTAATTAACATACTTTGAGGACAATACATTATGCAAAAACAAGCGGTCGAGTGATAATTCGTATATTTGAGTTATTCTCGGTCACATGCTTGTCATTTATTTTTTAATATTTCATTGAATTTATTAATTTATCTTCTTGATGTTTAATTCGTTGTACCTCTAAAGTTGAAACGTTACTTGCGTTTCCGGTGATTTCGTTATGGAGTTTAATGGTATCACATTCTCATTCTCCTCGATATTTTCTTTAGACCACGCAATTATCTGAAAACGTTCAGTGATAGCAACTAAAAATATAATTAAACGTTAATTAAAATAATGATAATGAGTGTTTCGCTGGGTGATAAAATCACATTGAGATGTCGCACCCGATGTCAAGCGTTCACACGTACACACATTTTATTATAAGCGCGAATAAATTAAAACATTGCTGGTATCCCTAGCAGATTAATTCAAAGGCCTATTAATTATAATCAGGCCAATTAATTTCTTCAATGATGATTACGTTTTTTTAACTCAATTTTGTCAATTAATTTTTTAAATACTCATGAAGTTATTAGAGCTGCCAATTAAATTCGGGAGTTGAAAAGCTGAATGAAATCTTCAGTTGAATAAAATATTTTTCTCTTGGAGAGATGATTATAATATTCAACTGGAGAGAATGACAGCTTCCGAGTTGGAGCGACCAATTGAGTCACATCTTTGGCACATCGATTAATTTAGTAGTGACTCTCTCCCCATGAATGCTCTCCGGTCGTCTGACATGTCCCAGAACAGATCCAGTGAGATCCAGACTCAATGGCCTGTCATTTCCCCCATGATTATCCAAAAGGTAATCTCCGGTTATAAACTCGTTGGTTTTGATCTCATTGAGACCAGTGACTGAGAAATTAGTCTCCAACAGACGTTTCCCGGAGGGTGAGATACCACGATGATCACGCTGATGAGGATGATTTCTTACCGGTGCAGGCTTGACGAGTACTTCAGCCTCAGGATTACTGATGACACTTGGATCAGTCATTTCTTCATCCTCCTCTGCTTCCTCCTGCTCCCTCTCCTCCAACTCCGGCTCCTCCGTCAAATCTTCCATCGACTGAAAATACAAAAAAAAAATAAAATAAAATAAATCCCCATTTGCCCCATTTTTTATCCTCAGAATGAAAAAAAAAAATTACAAATGGATTTGGTTTCGCAGGTTTACTGACGAGGCCTGTATTTACCCCTAGGAGTTCCTTCTTCTCGGGTTCATCTTCTGTGAAAAAAAATTGAGTAACAAATTCGTTAATTCCCCAATTCGTGGCATAATGATTAAATAAAAATTTTTCAAAATGTCAAAAAGGGGATAATATGGATAAATTAGAAATATTGAGTCGCTCCTACCTTTGATCTGAACTTTTTTCTCCCCCACGTCATTGGCGACCTTGTGCGTGCCATTAGGCCTCTTCTCATCCTCAACAACGGCCTTGAACCCAACAGTCTTCCCCACAGAATTCACCTCAGCACTCTGCCACCTCTGCGACCCCCCAGGAGAGCCACTGACGGTGACAGCAGCAGCCCTGGCCCTCCTCTTCCTCTTCCTGTCTCTCCTGGCACTCCTCCAGACCTCATAACTGCACCCCAAAACCGCCGCCACAAAGATACAACAAAGAGCGATAAACATGTACGTTCCAGCCCCCTGCTCCTCCTCAGTCTCATCATGATAGAGTGATTTGTACGGTATCTTAGCTGGTGCCCCAGCATCCCAATTCTTATCATTCTCGACGCTGTCATTTCTGGGGGGTTCAAGACCTCTAGGCTGGACATGGAAGAACGAGCACTGAGCACTCCTGACACCCGCTGGATTCGTTGCCCTGACAGTTTCACTGCCCTTTTTAGTGAACAGCATGTACTCCTCCAGGGGTTTCATCATGTTCCCCCCATTGATTGACACAACAACATTGCTGAGGCATCCAGTGTAGCCCTTGTAAAGAGAGAATCGATGATCAGACGTGTTTACCCAGCCCAACTGAACACTGGGCTCCTCACTGGCAGCTGGATCTGCCTCCTCTCCACCTTCTTCCTCATCCTCGGTGATACTGAGGACTGGAATCGGGAGCAATTGCACTGGCTCTCGATCTATTAGGAGCGTCACTGTGTTATTGTCTCTTACGTAATAGACACTGTGTCTGGCACCATTGAGGAAATTTCTGTCGTTGACACGAACACCGTACGCCGAGCCCTCTCTGTCCTCCTCGAAGATGAGTTGACCCTCGGATGTCAGGGCTACCAGGAGGTAGTAACTCCGTCGGTTCTCCGTCTGTAGGAGCAACAGGGCGGATGTTCGTTGGCGCAGATCGTTTGTACTGAAGGCCAATTGAACTTTAATTTGATTGACTTCACCATCGAGCTCGAAGCCCCTCTGGAGGAGGCTCTCACCTCCAAAATCCGCGCCCTTCTCCTCCGCGCAATTCTCCCCGAAGTAGGATGTTAGCTCGCAATTGCAGGATGCCTCTTGTTTACTGAAATCCTCGATACAGATTCCCAGGTTTTTACAGGGAACGGCATCACACTTCATTTGGCAATTGGGGAGAATTCCCTTGGAGCCCTCATGATTTGCCTCGCTGGCGAGACTCGGAAGGTCAACCAGATACTCGGCGATCATGAGACCACGGAGGCAACCGACGTAGCCCTGAATCAGCTGGCCCTCTTTACCCACCCGGAGAAGATTGTCCGGATCGAAACCACCGAGATTCACCTGGAAATAGTCGGTTGGTGGTGCTGGTGGTCTCTGAGGTGCCAGCACTTCCTTCTCCGAGTTGATCCACGGTTTGTTGGAGTACGAGTCCAGCAATATCGGTACATAATCGACCGTGACGTTGTGATCATTGACGTGAAGTGTTGTCGTCTTCTCACCTCTGACAATCGCTATCTGCACAGATATTCCAGTGCTGAGTCCTGAAATAAAAAAATAATTTTTTCGTTTTAATCATCGACACGACGAGTCACTTGATGGGTTCAGATCTTACGTCAGTCACTCAAGTGTCTCTTCGAGTTCGTCTTGGTAGTAGTAGAAGTAGTTCCTTCGTAGAGGAAAACGGTTGCCCACCTGGATACTGGACGGTGATGTTCTTGATCTCGTTGACGGCGTTAAATAGATAGACTATGCTCGTTCCATTTGATATGTAGATGTGCACGAAGTTGTTGAGATGATCGTTGGCGTAGAGAATTAGGGAGTAGGTGTCGTATGTCCTCAGGTTTATCAGGATATTCTCCAGTAGCATACTCTTCAGCAGGAGCTTCTCCTCGTCGTCGCCAGTGCCCAAGTAGTTCTTCTTCAAGAATGCACCCGGGGATGTAAACGTTAATGCTTTGGTGTTTATATCTGCAAATTATTAAATATATATTAACAAATGTGGAAACAATTATCATTTTCAATTGTCATTTTTTTTTAGATGTAATGGGGGATTAATGGAAGCTCTTACTTGTTTCACAGAAAGTTCCCTGATGTGCCCATCGATTTTCACATACGCATTCGAAATTACTCCACAATTCAACGCATCGTGCGCCGTTCTGGCACTTGTTAGGCTGACAAGAGGGTTTGCAGTCCTTAATAATTTCTGACAAGTGCACCGACATGTAACTGTGAATATCTAAAATTTCTCCATTAACAACGAGTCCCCTGAAGCACCCGATCAGCCCCTGCTTAACTTCCGAAGTTTTGAGATGCTCAGCAGTGGCACCACCGATGAACATCGACCCCTCAAAAGGTCCAAACTCCTCCTCAGGAAGTAAATCCACCATTTGAAAATCAGTATTGATCATAAACCGTACGTGATAATCATTGTAATCAATCCAGATTTTTTGCCACTCTCCGTTGTTCAATTTCCTTCGGCTTTTCACTTCTAATTCACGATTCGTTCCTGTGTTGAGAGTGAAGTTGAATGTCAGACGGTAGTCGGAGGTCAGGGCAACCATGAAGGAGGGGTAGTTGCTTCGGATTGGGGGTTGATAGAGGAGAATAGCTTTTTCTCCAGTCGTTCGAAAACTGAAAGCAATGTCCCCTTTTCTCCATCCAGGAACTTCGATGTAAGACTGAGACGTGGTGAATGTTACAACATACTTCTGCGTATCTACAAAAAAATCCCGAATGATTTTTAATTTATTTATTTATCCGTCATTTTCGATTGATCATGTGTCTGGAGAAATTGAAATAATTCTCACTCGTTTCGACGCACTCCAGTGGTCCGAGTGTAATTCTTCCTTGTGCATCTTCCTCGAGGTCCTTCTGCTGAAGAAAAACAATACCTGTGATCCCCAGAGAGTCAGGACTCTCGTAATGTCCTTCATCGGACAGCCATTTACCAGCGGAGACATCACAGTTGCAGCTCAGATCAGGATTCACGCAGGTTTTATTCACTAAAAAATTTAATAACAATTGCATCTCAGGATGTACGACAAATTATTGAATACCACTCACTTCCACAGGGACAAGATCCTCTATTCGCATTCCCGATGTAATCCACAATGGTCTGCTTGGACCCCAGCAGCCAGGTAGCACTGTGGAGCTCCAGAGGTGCCTTATAACAATCATATTTAACATGCTGACTACAATACAACGAGTGGGAAATTAATTCCTGCAGCATCTCCGCGGTGAACTCTCGGTACGTGATATTAAATGAGAAATCAAACTCGACGTTCGATCGTACATCGACTTGAGAGGGTAAATTGTGCTCTACGATGGTCTTGGTGGCATCCTCGATGCTCTGAAATTCGCATTTGACAATAGCCGGTGGAAATCGTCCATTCCCATCGATATCAATCCTGTAGACGCCGTCCTTGGTGTATCCCAATAACGCCAGCTCCTCGCATGTCTTTCGATAACGAGTGAAATGACAATTCTTTCCGATGTACCCAGTGTCCTTGCAGTCGCAGGTTATTCTGTTCTCTTTCACTGAACACTTGCCCCCGTGTTCGCAGGTGTTAGGCCTCTTGCAGGGATCGACGAATTGACAGTTGTCCAGGGCGACTTCTCCGATGACTCTTTCAGTGTTTATGACGTACCTGTGGAGTGGAATTACTGAAATATTGGGAAGAGACTTTTAGATGGTGTCGACGTACCTCGGCTCGATGACATCTTCATTCACTTTGATGTCACGCATGCATCCCACGAGACCCGCGTCACTCTTGCCACTTCCGATAATAACTTTATCATCCAGCTCGAATATTCTCCGAAATTGTCTCGACTTCAGGTGGTGATGATCGACGATTAGACTGAGTTGTCCTCTGGTGTAATTGAGTTCCACCTTGTGCCAGGATGTCGTGTTGTCCACCGATGCAATTACCGTAATGTTTTCCGTCAATAATGGAATCAGTTGAAACCAGACCTCGTCATTGACCAATCTCACCTCCCAATACCCTGAGCTCTGCCCCATTATAACATCACCAGAAGCAACAACTGCCACTGGTTTTGAGCTTTGAAATTCAAAATTCAGCATCAACGAGTCCTTCCACCTAGTGGGCCACCAGATGTGACTCCCGGCGAAGGGATAAGTTATGGGTATGACTTTGACATCGGTGTCGTAATACTCGGGCTCGAGGACGCCGATGTAGTGGACCATTGGGTTGGATTTCTTCAGTTCGTAAATTATGGACTTGTCGTTGAAGAAGACGTACTTCAAGGAGCCAGCAAAATTATTGAACGACACAAGACCCTTCTTCTTGTGCAGCTCTGGACCGCCACCGATGTAGATCTCCGGATCGATTATCATGTATTGATTGTCACCCGGAATGTCCAGGACATTCAACTCGCGGTCCAGCGATACGAAAACACGTGACCCATTATGGAATATTGTGAAATTTCGCCAGTCGTTGTTGGCGACGTTGTCACCTAGAATCGTCGAGAGCTTGGAATTGTGACCAAAATCCAGATGGACGTGGACTTTTCGATTCATTATCGAGGCGGAAATGTAGTGGGCTGTCCCCTCGATCTCCCCAGATGCATAAAACAACACCGAGTCGTCCCACCTCGTCTAAAAATTCATTAAAAAAATTCATTAAAAAAATTATCAATCCTCTAGTTCTTCCTGAAATCATCTTCAACCGTCACAATCACCTTAAATTGCATACTAATTCGATTAACAGACGAATGCACTCGATCTTTCCAATCGTAAACTCTGAACGAGACGTAGGACGAGCCTCGGAGAGTCAAAATAGTCGCAGCTAGAAATAAAAAAATGGAATTGTCAATAAATCAAATAAAACCTAGAGGAAAAATGTGTCATGAGAAATTCTACAAGGGAGATAATTCCGTAATCACTCATGTGATGACCTACTGTAAACATCGCATCGCTCTCCTTCATAGAGTGTCCCGAAGCAATCACAAGTGAGACTGTTGTAGTGATTGATACACTTGCTCCCGAAGAAGCAGAGATTTTCTCTAGTCCAGCATTTATCGATGCATCCTTCCTTGACGTTCTCGTGTTTAGTCGCTATTAGAGGCTTAATCGGTGATAAATCACTGACAGATTTTCCAGAGCTCAGGATCATATCTCGGATACACCCAACGAACGATTCAATGATGTATTTGACCCCGTGGAGTCTCTCCTCGGAGCTGAGACCACCAATTAAAACGACTGAACCCAATTCGGTTGATACACCGTAATTAACGACTCTCTCCAGGACATCTAGGGTTGTCTCTTCTTGTCTGTCGTCAACGCGTGCCATTAATTTTGCACCTTGGACGTCTATTCTAACTAGGACACTGTGCCACTCGTCTCGATTCAGGCCTTCACCCACTGTCAGGCTTGTCGAGAGTTTACCGAACACGTGGACAACTTTTAGCTGACCCTTTTCCACGATTACGTACAGGGCATATGGGTCCAGACTCTCCGGGCGATCTTTCACGCTGTGGTACACCAGGAGGCCGTGCGGAAGTTTTGTACGGAATTGGAAGGAAATTTCTCGGCAGAGTCTGGGGATGAAGAGGTTGTTGGATTAATTAATAATGCGCCAGGAACATGCGAGAATATTTATTTCACTCCAAAGGCGTTGTTTTATGAATTTTGTACCAGAAAAAAATTTGTAGGATTTTTTTTTCTACCTTAATTGGAATGTTTTCATTCCCGGTCCGTCTAGTTGGATAAATGTATTGCTCTCGGCGAACATGAAAGTTTTTTCGTATCCTGACTCCATAAACGTGAGTTCCTGGGGAGGAATAATTACGTCATTTTTTTTGCGATTGTTTATAATCGAAGTCTGGGGGATTAATTTATAATTTTATTCGGATTGACTGTTGGATTTGGAAAAATACATTTGATTCAATTTTTTATTGCATGTGGAAATTTTTCTGAGAACAATCGATAAATTAATTAATAAATCAGAATAATTACAGACACGAAAAAATGGCGTGCGATGTGAATTTTTATTTTGCATTAATTCTGGGTAATTAATTATTTACCTTTCCCCTTTCGTGTTTCGGCACGGGTTTCCTCGTGGGGCCGAGGGGTGAAAACGTAGGGGGAGGAGTGCTGGGTGTCGTCGTCGGGGGTGTACTCGTCGTCGAAGTATTCATTTTCGTGACAAACACTTTTCCCTTGGCTCCCATGGACGAGGGTAAAGTATCTAGTAAATTAAAAAATTCCCCTAAAAATAATAAATCCCAAAAAATTTTTTTTTCCATTCCATTAACAAAAAAATTAAAAAATACACATATATCTCTCGATAAATCGAATGATCGGGCCGTCCCTTTCGGTTGCTTAATCAACAGCTTAATTAACAGAATAAATAATTCGGACACTGATTTTTTGGATAATTTTATTTGTCGGCGTGACTCACAATTAGGACGGCCGACGCAGTGGTGGAGGCACTCGAGTTGTGAATTAAATCTGTTCTCATTTCCCAGACATCCACCATAAACGAAGATTCTGCATTTGCCCTCGACTTTGTTGAATGTCCATTTATGAATATAATGTTTGCAGGGGCCAGAGTCGGTTTTGACGAGACAACGATCCGGCAAAGGGCGTTTTGTCGTGGTGACGAGATCGGGTGATAAATCGGTATCATCGAAAAGATCAAGATCGGGGAATTCGGTGATGCTCGATTGAATTACCAGGAAGGTGCACATCAGGCACAGGATCACCAGGACCCCCTGTGGCAGGATCATCATCCTTCATTCGATGAGATCCTGAAAAAAAAATCGTATGCAATATTTATTTATCCAGTACGTCAACTATTTTTCTACAGATCTCGATGGAATTGAAATATAAATATTTGAGGGACACGATCCGTTGGATATTTTTTTACAATCGATTTTCATTGTGTTTCCTATTTCTATGAATATTCGGGAATCGTGTTTCAGGAATTGATGATTGTGGCGATCTTTTGACGACGGCGATCTTGTGGACAAAGCCCTTATTGAAAATTCCGGACGGAGTGCGGAACCTTCTGCATCCTGAGTAAAATATCCCAAAAGATCTTGTGATTAGAGCGGGGGATTCTCTCAGGAATTTTAAATATACTTTTTGGTATTCGTCAACAGCTTTCGCCCACTCTCTGACGTGTCCAAGTGTCTTCAAGGATCAAACGCCTTCTATTTCCTGTCCCTCATAAAATTTGATTTCTTTTTGCGATTGCATTGTCATTGATTTATTACTTCCGCCGGAAATATCTCTAATTTTCCGATGAATTTCCTCAAGTTCAAGGGCCGACACGTGACATTTCGTATCACTTAATGAAGATGACTGAAAATAAAAAAATTCTCCACTTGCTTTTTGCTCTCTCATCTTGCATAACGGATTCCTCAATATTTCAGACAGTGACCCACGACCGGAAGAGGCCCCTACGTATCCTGGGGCCTGATAAAATCATCCGTCACCAGATTATACCCCAAGGGGGCTCATGAAATAAACATGGGAGCTCAATCCAAGTATTTTTTTTATTGTTGTTTGGCCGTAGCCCATTACGGATACGAAATCACCAGAGGTTGAACCAGTTTACCAGTTGAAGATTGAAGAAGGATGTTCAGACTTAATGGGTTACTCACGGCGAGTCATGTGAGTCAATTTTCTCGGGCCCTTACGACAATTGCTACCGAGGTTACACAAATGTCTCGTTATTTTTATCTTTATTCCCTATTTTTATTTTTATTCCCTATTTTTATTGAATTCAGGTGTAATTAAAAGATTTTTATTAAATTTCATCGGTGGATGTGAAAAGGTGAACAATGAAAAATTAAAATTAAAATTCAAGATGAATTGGATGGGGGGTCCAAGGCAGAGAGCAGGATGTGACGTATCTGAAAGGGGAATGAATGTGTCGCTCACTAGTACAGAGAGTTTACGAGTTCATTCAATTGTCTTCACCGACACTACGAAAATCCACTTGGACCTTTTAATACCCCGTGGACTCATCAATTTCTTAATCCCACTTCCGTAAAAATTCGATTGAAATTCCCCAAGAGTTTGTGTTATCTGAAGAATAATTTATTCTCTAAATTAATTAATTACTAATTGAATTGTTTTAATTTATCTGATTCTGCATCGATCTCGTTTTAATCGATGAAGATCAATTTCATTTCACTGCAGTATTATCGCCAGACTTGTGGCGCGAATTTCAGGTATCGATTTGATTCATCCAGTAATCGATCTTTTAGATAATTTCTGTATCAGGCAGGAGATAAACATTTTATCGCAATTTGCAGTCGCCCCACTTGACCCCAGCGCAATTTTTATGTGGCCTTCTTTTGAAATTATAGAATCGATATATCGAGCAAATGGCCTGGATACCATATCTTTGTTAGGGAATACGTTATCGTCATCGTTATGAAATAAATCGATCCGATAACATCGATTATGAATTTTAAATCGGTTATCGAACTATTTCATCCCGTATTAATTAATCTACCGCATTAATTTTCTCGTTATATTTTCCGGGTTGTCATGAAATTATCCCCCAATATCAAAAATTAATATTGAACAAAATAAAAATTATAAAAACAATTGTTTATCCAATGAATGAATTAAAAATGATAAAGAATTCCGTAAGTCGTCGATTTTTTTTTGATTGATGCAATTATTTATTGAGCCGCAGAAAATAAATAAATTAAATTGGTTATTCACTCTTTATAGAAATATTGTAAAAAAATGAATGGAGTAATTCGAATCGAATAGTAGAGGCGGAAGCTGATCGTGTAAATTGAAACGAACAGGCCAACGGTGGGACATGGAGATGCGTGAGATGAATTGATGAATTCCTTCGGTTTTTTTATTCACGTCGGGGGATAGAAAATAAATTTAATCGGGTATCAACAAGTCAGTGCCACGGGTACAAGCCATTTCGGCACGCGACACCATTTTATTTATGAATAACAAAAAAAATCATTATTTATTCATCCCACATAAATTTTCCATTTCCTTTTCATTCAAAAAAAAAAATTCACAGAGTGATTATTTTTGTGGTAATAATGAAAATAATTTTAGTGAATATATTATAAATAATTTGAATTAACTTGAATTAATTTGTTTTAACAATTGGATATGGCATGAGTTGAAGATTAAATAATGGAAATGACAAGTGGATTTTGTATCGGTGGAGGGAAGTGAATGTTTGAATATCATTTGCAATCCATGATGCTTCAATGTTTATTATTTTTCATCCAAGGTGGAGTCTGATGAGATAACGTGTCCTGCGGATGTAATTAGCGCTAAATCACTGATGAAATGATTAATAAACCGGCGCGTGTATCGCGTGTGGTTCTGAAAAAATTGAATTCGCGAATGACGATTATAGAGCGGACAATATCTTCCTGCTTTAGCAGAACCATTTTATTTTCGTAATCAATCCATTGCATTAAATAATAAAGACAATTGGTGAATGACTAATCACCTTTAATAATTACGTCATTTTATTTTATAATTATATAAATTATTTTTAGAGGCGTAATTATAAAATAATTTAAAAAATAAAATAAAATAAAAATTACGTCATTATTTAAAAACGTTTCAAAAAAAAACGTTTGCAATTTTCTATTTCTTTAATTAAATTTTATTTTTCTTGTCATGAAAAAATAGAGAATTCCTGAATTAAATGGCTCTCGACTTATCTCGGAAATTAATGGCCCCGAAATTGTGTCAAAAGACCTTTTTTATCTGGAATACAACCACGAGAAAATTTACTCGAGATAATGGGAAAATTATACAAACTATAATCGAATTATTTAACTTTGGACTTTGAAAATTGAAAAAAAAAATATAGCTCGTGGTGTTGGTACTTGTAATTAGTGAGTGAGCATTATTTTCACTGTCAATTCAAAATTGGGAAATCCAAGTCGAGCAATTGAACCGCGAGACTTGTAAAATGCGATAAGATATGTGATAATTATGTGTTAAACGCGTACATTCTACCAATTTTTTTATTCTACCAATGGCTCTCCAGAGATCTTATTGTCCCTGTCATTAGGATATTTAGCAGTAAGAATATTGCTACTGAAATATTAGTGTTTACACCAGCCAGTCATCCACTTCGAATAAATAAAAAAAAATCATGATTAATTAATTGAATATTTAATTGAATGAAAACTTTGAAAAGTTTGAATTTCTTTCAATCAAGAAAATTGTTAAATTACTTTGTAATCTGCTTACGAAGTCATACGAATTACCGAGTATGTCTAGGGCCTTCTGCACAATCCAGTCGCTAATCGATGCAATAAAAATAGCCACAACAATGTCTCATTTTATGAATTTATGATTAAGAAACACGCAAAACTCGTCTTTCCTTATAAAAACCACAGAGCAGTCACTGAAAATCACTCGATTATTCTAAAAGCACATTTACTCATCGAGACCTATGCGACGTGTATTTTGGGTATTGATGATTGATTTTTTATTGAAAATATATTAATGTTTATAACTCGATGTGAGATCGTCTCGACAGGTCCGCGACGCGACAGAATCGCGCGAACGACTGACAAAACGTTTGAGTCTTGCCACCGCGGTTACAGCAATTGCCCCCTCCACTCGGAGAAAAAAAAAAGTCGAGAAAATTGAATGGAAATGGAATGGAAATACCTGCGAAGGATCCTCACCAATTTTCCAATTTCACATCTCGTTTTTCTCTCGGAAAAAAAACAACACGAAATTTTTAAATTATTGGATAATTCCTCATGTCATTATTCAGTTCATGTTTTTCATCCGCAATTGCAGTAATTTTCATGATTACTGAGTATCGATGGGGAAATTCCGCTGGTCACATGACGGTCGTCAGCGTAATTGGGTAATTAAGTGATTGAATATTGGAAGAAATCGATTTTTGAATTTTCAGTTCAATTGATCAATACGAAAATCAGAGAATCCTCAAGTGAAATTTAATTACAATTAATGCAATGAATAATTTGGAGATTCCTGAATCTCCTTTTCTGGTTGCATTTTTTAAAATAAAAAATATGGAAATGTCAAGTGCATAATTTATTGAATATACAACAGTCGTGCATCCAAAAATGATGTCGAGTTTACCACATCACGAGTTCTCCTAAACGCTAGGGAGAAACGTATTTGTAAACGGTTGATAAATAACGTGACAATGGGATAATGGAAAAATTGTCCCTTAAACACATCCCATTCGTTAAATCGTATCCAACGCTCGGAAGGTCGCACCGCGGGTGAATCAGTCTCTCATAAAAATTGCAGAACAAGTAAAAATAATTGTCTGAAAAACATCACCACAAAGTAATTGAAAAAATCCCATTAAAGATGGCAATTAAAACAACTCCAATTCCATTT